AGTACTGACCTTTGACCTTCATATGGTACCAGTATGTTCAACAAGTGTTCAACTCAAATTTGATATTTACATTATGTTTCATACCTCTTTACTTCATATACTGAGTTGAATTTAGATGCTGATAAAACAAGTTGTTTCTAAGTGAATTTATTGTCAGGCTGCAGTTCAATTAAATTACTTTGTTTGAACCAACTCAGCTACTTTACTAAAATCAATTCCGCAACTTTGCTTGAATCATTTTAGCTGTTTTGATAGATTCTTCCCAATGCGAAAAACTAATGTGATTTTCCAATGCAATTTATACTGCCATTTTATGGAGAAATGTCATTGTATTATAGTGAGACTAATTTTTCCTATACCATTGTAAATAAAGAAAAGGTGGTTGCACATTTGTACATAATATTTGAGGCCTTAATAGTCCACATTTTGCCATATGGTTACATTACATTTATATTGTTTTTGCTTCTAGATTTCAGTTCCAAACTTTTGTACAATCAGCATCCTGAGCCGAAAATGATTTTTTAAATGTTTTACATATTACTTAATTGAGACAGATATTTTTTAATTCTAAAACCAGCCCAAGATTGGTGTCGCTAGGAATAGAATCATTGATTGTTACCTTAAATTGCATAGAAAGCATGGATAGTATTTTTACAGTTTTAGTAGTCCTGCGTTAGAATTACAATCAGTATGGTATATTTCAATTATACTGTGTGGTATATTGTTAAGTATGGTGTATTTCCATTATATGTGGTATATTGTTGAGCATGGTGTATTTCAGTTATACTATGGTCCATTAAGCATGATGTATTTCAATTATACGATACCGTACTTGCAGGAAGTTATACAATTAAGTATTATACACTAAAATGTACAATATTTACATTTTTAAAGAATAAAGTCTTGAAAATATTTAGTACAGTTAGCATTTTTCTTGCATCTGTTTTCCAAGCCAGTAAACATACAGTGCAGTTCTCGCGGAAGCTTTGGCTTTTGTGGCATCATTGTCGCCTACGCATGGCTTCATTGTCGCCTCAGCATAGCATCATTGTGGCATCAGCTTCGCGTCATTGAAACTTGAAGCTGTGTTCGCCTCTCTTATTCTGTGGCATCACCGTGGCCTCAGCTTCGCAGTCTCATGGCATCAGCTTCAAAGTATTGTGACATGAGTATGACCACAATATTTTCACATGGAAAGGCAGTAGAGAAAAACACATGTACAGAAGTTCGATATGTAATCGATTTGAAATTCAAAGCGGTAACGGGAATAAAATAATATGACCAACAGTAAAATGAAATTTTAAACAGATATCTTGTTTAATTATTTAATGTTGCGAGTATTGGGTACCAAAAACTATGTGAAGTACATTGCAATCTGCAAGGTGACGAGTGTCATATTGACTGCAAGGAAAATCGTGATAAATTTAAATCGTCGTTCGGAAACAACACAATTTGCTATACGAAATGAAACTGTTCTTGTTATAAAAATACCTTATTTTCGTTCATTTTATTTGCTGGCAAGAGAACAGATTCAGATTCCTCATTTTGGTGGTATTTTTCTGTGTTTCGTTTAGTTTTAGCCGAGTCCGATCGGACTACTAATACATGGAAAACACGCATACGCCGCCGGTGCATCGGCGTTGTCGCCTGACATCTTGATACAAAGTTCCAAAACAAGTGCGTACATTTCCAGCTATGATTGGATGGTTGTGGTGGCGTCGGTCTGGTAAAATTTTACATCCAATTTTCAAAATTAAGTTACGATCAGTGACCTGAGCTCGATCTATACGTACTTATTCTCCCAAAAAATATTTTCGAATAAAAAAGAGCTACAGGCCTGGTAAAAAATCGAATAGCACTTGACATGCAGAAATAATTTATTGGGCTTCAGAAAAAAAAAGTGTTCATTTAGTTGTAGCCGTAAATATTTGGTGACCAGTTGATGAACAATTTGAAACTCATTATACACACGGAAGTCCTTTGATACTGAATATCATCGACCCCAATCTGGTTTACTGTATTTCCCAACTTGCAAAACTGATTTGTATCTCAGCTCAGTTTTTCTTTTTTCTTTTTTTGAACTGAGGTCAAATCCCAGCCGTTTGTCAAAATATACCGATGTTTTTCAGTGAATGATTGTGAAGCCTGTCACAGCACACTGAATCGACGCCGGTACGATGGACGGTACGATGACCCTTCAATTAGCGTCAAATATGCTTTGTTACAACATCATTGATTTGCTGAAAGTCACCTGATCGGAGCACGACCTGGGTCACAGAACCATATTTGTCCGTATTATAAACGGGAATTTGCGAGAGAACCACACCCACATTTTCAACCATTTTTAGCGCGGAAGTTGCCAACAAATGTCGAAAACTCGTGAATTTTATGGATTTGAATAAAATAAAGCTAGCGATTGGTAAGACTGGTTAATAATATATCTCCCGATGCTCTTCGATTTTTTTTATTTTATTTCAAGGCGAGAAATGGATAATTGAAGTTCCATCGATATTTTTTAATCCTTGTTGAAATGTGCATTGCTAACAGCGGAGCTATCTCAGCCGACAGGCTGCTTGTTTTGTTTGTAGAGTTTGGTATTGTAATACTCAGGAAATGTAGCTGCTTTTGTAAATTCGTATTTGATTGTATTCACGAGAGTCTTTATTACATAATTTAAAGATGACAATCTTCAGTATAACAGAAAAAAATGTATATTTGCAATATCCAATTGCAGTTTAGAAGAGACACTGTCTAGTTGAGAAAAGGAAACGCGTATTGATAATAGTAGTACTGATGTCAAAACACATAAAGAGGTAAACGGTGCGTTCTGTTATATCTTGATTATTTTTGTTTCCTACACGATTGTCGTGATTGTTCACAGACCGCTACTTCGTCGTGTAATAACATTCTTCGATCAATGATGTGTATGGGTAGTAAACATGGTTTTAATTCATGAAATATAATGTCAGTACAGTTAGCTGAACCGTAAATTTAATTGGTCAAATGTTTTGCTGTAGTTACGGTAAGTATGTTTTTGTCACTTTGGGCATTTACTTAACATGTTACTGCAAACTATGTGTTATTCAACAATTAAATAAAACAGGGAATGTACTAGTATGACATACTAATCGCTTTGCAACCCAAACATAGTATTCCTATTTTAAAACGACCCCTAGAAAGTATTACGTTGAAAACATAAGGGAACTGTCACGACATGTTTTTTCCATTAGAATCTCATTACGTCCGCTCATCACTACACGACAAAACAGCTCTTGTTAACACATTAAATACGATATGGCAGTTTGTGAGCGAACACGTTATTATTGACGGAAGAAGTTGTCAGAAAACACAACGTCAATATATAGCTTTTCTGACACTCACAAAGACATTAATCCGACATGTGTAATTAGTCATCAAATAAATAGATAAATATGTAGAAAGTGACAGAATTATTTATTTGTGGAATTAAATTAGGTATTATCAGACTGAATCTGTCACAACCACGTGCTTTTATAATCACCTTTTTATTTTTCAAGTAACGACGCTCAACAAATTGAACAGCGGGGCTAATCGTACATATAGCCAACGAGTCAAATTCAAAAAAACATATAGTAACTGTGACTTAAACAGCATTATTACAGATGTTGAAATATGAAACCGAATCAACTCTGAGTCAGCTATTACGAAACCGATTGTTTTTTTGGTAAACGTCACAAATCTGGTATTATATTTAATCATTCAGATTGAAATATACGAGCATGTCTACCATATGTCTGAGCAGGTTCATTTATAGAGCGTGTGATCATACTCCGCCACTAGATACACATAAGTTAAACCAAAGTATTCGTTTTTTACATACACATTATATGACTACAATATCCTGCTATCAATAAACATGGACATTTGGATGGTCAATACAATATTTGAATTCATAGTATAGACCACACTCCCCGGGCACATGTGAATATTAGACAGTGTATTGAACGTCACAAGGGATTGATTGAGTGATTAACAGTTGCAAAGGTAGGAAATTGGAAATTGTGAGTATCACCTGGGAATTAGTAACAAGGGGGATAAGACGGAGCGAGTGAATGTACACATTTACAAATGATGTCCATTGTGCACCTCTATATGTATGTCTATACACGTAGTATACTCGTGTGAATGTTCATGTATAGACTTGCATTGCTGAAAACATGTGTGCGCTTGTAAATATATGTGTGGTGTACGTATATGTGTAATCTGGCAGCGATGGACGTATATTCACTTATGTATAATACGTATATTCACAAACATACGTAGCAAGGGACTGATTTATTATCTATCAGTAGTGCTCTCCACATCCAACCGGGCTTTCATCAAAAAGTACACTTTTACATATAAATATCCAAAAACATATTGGAAAAGGTTCACATAAAAAAATCATATATAAGTACATACGTGCTAACTTTGTAGGGTGTAGTCCGCCATTTTGTTTATAATTTTGAAGCAAACAATCTCTGATGAAGCAATTAAGGTCATAACTTGAGGATGGTAACACCCTCTGTACCACGACAACAATTAAAACAGCACGTTCTATTAAATGAATCACATCCCTGACAATCCACAGTTCATCAATGTCAACTCTATTACACCTTGCTCGCTACAGCTATCGATATCATTGATTGATAACTACCGATACTGTATGATATATGTTTTATTCTGTTACACATTACGATATACCCAAAGTACTTAGATATACGTGTTTGATAAATGCCATACTACAAAGCGAATATACTAGGATATCAACCACAAAAAATATATCATGAGATATATTGATGGATGAATGGATGAATGGATAGATCGATATATAGATGGATGGATGGATGGATCGATCGATCGACAGATAGATGGTGGATGAAAGGATAAATGGATATATTGATGGATCCATGTAGGATTGATAAATGGATGGGGATAAACTCAATGGTGAATAGATAGTCTATCGTTCCTATGGAAACTGTTCATGTTTTGGTGCAACTCCAGTATACAATGTTGAATAATATAAATGCCATTGGAAACATTACTCTGGAAAATTTATCAATTGTAACCGCAATATGGTTGCCACTCGTCTTACATCGTCGTTTCTGGGACTCCATATCTCTCCGCCGAGTGTAATCAAGAAAAGAAACATTGACTTCATTGTAGGTGGCATCATTTTTAAATCCTACAATCGGGGTCACCGGGGTCATCTGTTTCAAATCATTCTGCAATAATACCGGATATAAAGTTAGTTACTGTGAAATAATCGGTACGATGAATATTGATATAAAACTAAGTTGACATTACAGAGTACTTTTTTTATAGACTATGGATACTTGGTTTTGTAAACTCGAATCAAAAAAGTTTGTTCCGAAATTTCCGGATGAATTTCACATACACGCTCATCAAAAGATTGGTATAAATTACTCACCTTGGCATTGTCTACTTTGTGTGTTAAAACGAAGTTTACTACGGCATACTGGAGTAGAGAAGCAACAACAAACATAAGACACGCCAGCATCCACACATCCATAGCCTGCAATTATTTATAAACATAGATAGTTTTTCTAAATAGGCCTTTACTGAGTGAGTTATATTGTGAACGAATGGAATTGTCGATTTACCCGGACATGAACGTGCTACAGGCCCGTAGTTTGGGGGGGGGGGGTCGGTCGAACCCCCTAAATTTTGGAAGTGGATAGATTTATGATCGTAGATTAGAAAGAATAAACAAACAGTATTAATTAAAATAATTATCATCGTTTAAATCACTTG